TTTATTCTTCTCTCCTGGGTCCTAATATACTTATTTGGACGTTGAACCTACGCCAGATATTCACCTAACAAACCTTACTCCACATATCCTTGAGTGGGGATTATTCCACTTTACGTGCGCAATATCAGAGCTGGATTTTAGCTCTGAAAAGTGTGAGTAAGACTATTTTTATTTCTTTATATTTTAATTACCTATATACTGTGCCATTGGAGTCCTGTTTTATTTTTCTCTCTACATATGCTCCATCGAATTTCAAGCATATAACCGTGAAGACTTAATCCCATTCAACACCCTAAGAATTTCTTCTCTACACGTGGGACCTACCATTACGGACTGTGATAAGTTTTTTTGGACTATTGCCAACCACTTATTTTAAATTAACTTATTTTATTTTAATATTTTATTATACTTCTATTTATGTATATGTTCTTATTATATATTTATATATTTTAGGTGCACCCTTATTTTACTGTCTTTTTTATTCCTTTTTATTATTAGGGGGTTAGTGGGGACTCCCCTTTGAGGTGTGCAGCCTTCTTATTTACATTTTTGTGTGGCAATTCAGCGCTGATTTTTTTCCTTTTGTTTTTTACAGGAAACAGAAGCTCCTGTACTGTGGACCGAAGAGGAGCTTGGCCATGCTACACAGGGAAGGGGAGGTGAGGAGAACAGGGGGGGTGGGGATGAAAGAGTCCACTAAGGGAGGGGGGGGGGGGTGGAGGAGAACAGAGGGATGAAAGAGTCCACTAAGGGAGTGGAGGCAGGGGAGAATTGGGAAGTGAAAGAGTCCACTAAGGAAGAGAGTGGGTGAGAATGGGGTGGTGGTGAAATAGTCCACTAAGTGAGGGGAGTGGTGAGGAGATCTTGGGAGGGAGGGTGAGGAAAATGGGGGTTGAGACCACTAAGAGAGGGAGGGGGGGTGAGGAGAGACCACTAAGAGAGGGAGGGGGGGTGGAGGAGAGACCACTAAGGAAGAGAGGAGGGGCTGAGGAGAGACCACTAGGGGAGGTGGGTGGAGGAGATACCGCTAGGGGTGGGAGGTGAGTAGAGACCAATAAGGGAGGGAGGGAGGGTGGGGTGGTGGAGACACCACTATGGGGGGGGGGGGGAGAAGAGACCACTCAAGAGAGGGAGGGGGAGAAGAACATGGGGAGGGGAAAGAGTCCACCAGGGAGGGTGGGAAGTGTGGAGGAGGAAATGCAAGGGGGGAGAGAGCAGATACCACTAAGGGCAGGAGGGGGGTGGATGAGAGGCCACTAAGGATGGTGGGGAGGGAGGAGAGACCACTAATGGGAAGGAGGGAAAGAGGAGAGACGAATAATGGAAAGGGGGGGAAGACCCCAATTAGGGGGGCAGAGGAGTGCAAAGACCACTCTCAAGGGGGAGACGAGAGACCACTACAAGGGAAAGTCGGGGAGAAGATGAGAGACCACAAGGGGGGGAGGAGAGTAGAGACAACTAAGGGACAGGGGAGGAGAGACCACTAAGAGGCAGATGAGAGCTCTAAAGGACAGAACACCACACACACACACACACAATGCATCCCTATACATACACATAAACACAACATGCTGCCCTTACACACAGAGAAACACACAATGCATCCATTATCCACACACACAGACAATGCATCCTTTGCACACATACACAGAAACACACAATGCATCTTACACACACATGCAAACACACACTGCTTCTCTTACACACACAGAAATACAATGCATCTCTTACACCCAATGCACCCCTTAGAGACACACACTGCATCCCTTACATACACAGAAACACACCTTGCATCCCTTATGCATACAAACACAGATTAACACAATGCATCCCTTACACACAACCAGAATTACACAATACATCCCTTATACACAAACACACACTGCTTTCTATCCCTTACACAAAAACACTGCTTCACCTACACAAACTGGTATCCCTGTACACTACATTACATAAATACATACTTTAGATCCTCTACAATAACTTCCCCTACATACTGCACTCCCTGTGAGCGAACTCATGGGTGGGTGGAACATATAAGTGTACTTATGAGTGGGCCTTATGTGCATACTCACCGTCAGACCCTGGGGCCCAGACCTTGAGCTGTGTAAGGGGCTCCAAAAAAAAAAATTGAGCTGCTTCCCGTTCTCCCAGAACATTGAATTTTGTGACCACAGTTACAAACAGTCGCCAGAGATCCTGTTCTACACCAGACCAGTGGAGCCAGAGCCCATCATCATCCTCATCTGGTTGTAAGTAGGCAATCTAGTATATTATTAGTGACACTAATCTCTAATTTACCTCACATTAAAGGGTCACTATAGTCCCCAGAACCACTGCAGCTTAATGTAGAGGTTCTGGTATCTATAGCCTGTCCCTGCAGGCATTTTTATGTAAACACACACTGTGTGCAGCACTGGTGTTAGTTCATATGGCTGATCATATGGGTGGGGCATTGTGATGTCACATGGGGGGGAGGGGACGGCAAATTTTTCTTTTGCCTAGGGTGGCAAAAATCCCTGCACCAGCCCTGTGTTACATAATGTGCAAACACCCCAGAAGGTGATAGAGCCACTTTAATTTGTTAAAGAGTCTTTTATGGGTTGCACCACACCCTTCAGTTGTAAAGCAAACAAACCTTTGATCCTAGCTCAAAGAAAAAACACACAGAGCAACACATTCTTCAGATTATCTTTACAAACAGCATTTGTATAAAGGGACGGCACCTCTTCCCTTTATAGCACAGTGCTTGAATACTGAGAGCCATTTCTTAAATTCCTCTATACATGTAAGTGCATTCCTACATTTTGATATACAAGTCTAATTTTTTACTACAAGCAGCGCCCACTCATTCTTACTGATTAAAGCCTCGGACATTGAGCATAAGTTCAGGGGAAGACTAACCAAGTGCTAGCTTGAAGACTTTGAGGTTAACCTTCCATTAACTGCTTTTCTCCCTTCAGGTAAGCCAGACATGGGACCTCCTCATAATAACTTAATTCCCATAACGTTGATATGGTTCCAAGAGTGGTTCTTTCTGTTACTATGGTGGTGGGACTGATCCTTTATGCACCAGGTAAACTGCACTTGACTTGGCAGAGCAGCTGATGAAGTCTGTGGCAAATTGTGGGCACCATGCCTCACCTAAAATAGGCCAGACTTAATCATACTATTATTTTTTTAATAAAAATGATATAAATATACATAAATTTTATATACATAAATTAAAACTGCTTTTATCGGAGAATAGGGCAGAAATCCATAGTGTTAACTGTTTTACAGAGATCTGTGTGGAAAGTAAAATAAAATTGCTTATCAATCCCACACAAGCACATGTTACAAATTACTTTTTTTTCATTTTAGTGATATGTACTTTTATGGTGATTAACAAATGTTATATTTTTAATTGATTACTACATGAGCATATTTAATTTCAAACTTATTTCTGATATTCTACAGGGGCAAGACATTTATGCTATAGTAAGGATGACTAAGCACATTTTATAATTAACCACACACTGTTAAGGCTAGATGTATATGGAAAATTCTCCAGGCAGACTACAAGTATTCCCATGGCCCTGTAGGGAGTGGGGGTGGGGGGTAAATTATTTATTTTTTTCAAACTGTTGCTAATGTTGTCATCCTTATGCTCACCTAATGTTTCGAAATTCATAAATGAAATAAAGTGGCTTTTATTTTTTTCTGGGCACCACCACTATAACCCTCACTGGCTGAACATGTTTACTAAGCAGAAATTAAAATCTTTCAACCCCTCCCTTTACTTCTTTCAAAATACAATGACAAAAGACCATGGATTGTCAAGAACAGCAGGTGATCTGAGCTCATTATAGATGACAGCTTATATCTCTGTGGACTGGGAGGGGTGGCAGGGAGATGTAAGCAAATGCACTACACTCTATAAAACATGTTGACTAAAAAGGAGATCTGGAAAAATAAATTAGTCAACTAATGCAGGAACAGTTTTGGCACCATTAAAAAAAAAAGTTTAAAAATGGTATATACCTTTTTTCGTGAATGGTGAGCTACTGAGTGTCAGAGCATCAGTTACCTGTGGTGCTCCTGTCCAGCAGCAGTCTGTGCTTCCTCAAGCTAATTTTCTAAAATCAGATATGGACAGGGATAATGAAAATTGGCACTAAAGAGTAGACTTTGGGGTTAAACAGTTTGTGAATGGTTTAACTAATAATGGTAAGGAAGAGCCATGGACCTTGTGCACCATAACTGTATTTCGATAAAGTTGTTATGGTGCTTACATTTCTTTTAAATGTAACCTTTCAGTGTTAGGAATACAAACCTGTGTCCTCACCATTTAGATTCAGCCCTAAGCTCCCCCCACCCAATGAAAAAATTCACTATTTACCCTGTGCCAAGCTCCATTCCCTGCAGCCACCCTGATCCACCTCTCATCCTGTTGTCCAATAAAATGCTCCTCAAGTTGAGGACAAAATAGCCAGCGCCATTTTGTTACTCCAATAAAATTCTCTCTATGAGATACATTGGAGATGCCTAACTGTGAGAGCAGAGTCTTAGTTCTCACAGAGGAACCACCTCTTGTGGCTATCAGGAAGCCAGCCACTATTTGTGTTTAGCCTGCAATGAAAATATTGCCGAATTACATTGCAGGGCTAAAATGACAGATGCACTGCACCCAGAACAATTTATTGAGATGAAGTGGTCTTGGTGCCTATAATGTCCTATTAAATAGCTTAAATGTGTACAGATTTACAAAACAACTCATGCATACATATTATAAAGTGAACAATGCTTTTTATCTTGCACAATGCTGTTTTACCAAAGAACCTCAATCTAATTGTAAACTAAACCACGGAAGACTACTACAGAGCTGTCCGCATGTGAAAAGCTTTATATGTATTGAAAAGTTGTGTTGGTTTGGAGGAATGCAGTGTTACAGTACCTGTGCACTACAAGTCTTATTTAATAAACCGTAAATAAAAAAAAAAAAAAAAAATACCACATTTGTGGACAGCATACCTTCACAGAGGCCAAGCATCCTGCTAATGTAGTGGATTACCAATGAACACATGAAAGACATTAAACTGTATTGAATTTTAATTTAATAAAGTTCCATTCTAGAGATATACAGGGTGATGCATACTAAGGCTCTTTAAAGATAACATACACTGATATAAAGAGGTTACATGGTTGGTAGTTTTCTACAATTGTTCTGCAGAATATATAGATCAGGATATGTTGAAAGTGTATTGATAAATACACATTTCATTTAAAAAGGAATTTCAAATTATAATATGGATATGGCATTTAAAAATATAAAGCACAGAAGTAGATTTCCAACGTATTTTCTTCCATTTAACTCAATTCTTTCACCTTCTGCTCTAGGCTTGCCTGGTTAGCTCCACTAAACTCGTGTACCTGCAAAAAAAAAAAATAAAAAAATAAAAAAATGATAGCCCAAATACAAAATATTGCAACTTGCAAAGCCAAAAGCAGTGAATGGAGGTAGATTATTAAATACATAAAAATAATACATAGGAACAATTTGTCTTCACAGAGATGATGGAAGTTGGACTAGCAGAATACTAGGGATACATAAACTCCCACTATCTTTAGCCTTCTTACAGGTTTTTTTTTTGTTTTTTTTACTGAAAAGCTGTGTGCACGCTGATCTCATCTGTATAGCGTACAAAGAATACCTGCAGCTTGTCACAGTGATCCAATACCAGCTGCGTCAGGCATTCTGGAGGTCTCATGATCGAAACATGCAGAAATATTGCCAAACATGCTACGATAGTTATATTCTGAGGGTCAGCTGCCAGTTGACCTAGGACAGAGGGCATCCATTTGCTTTGGCAGTTTACATTGTTGTTGTTCATTAAGTGCAAAAGTAAGTAAGCATTACACAATACGTCTTTGGTTACAAAGGAGTTAATTAAATTGGAACAATTAGCATTTCTGTTTTGATAAAATAGGCTATAATGAAAAACAGGTGTACCAAGCACTTTACTCTACTGGGTGTTTAAAGGAACAACCTTGCAGCAATTGCTGTAGTGGTTATGGTGCCAGGAGTGCCCTTGCCCCTCCTTCCCATTATTGTAAGGAGTCTAGTTTGAGAGGTTTGACTTCTTTCTTGTGGTCCGCAGTGCACCATTTCCCACCTCCATTACCTGAGAGCTTTTAGCCAAGATATTGCAGCTTATTCTATTGCCTGGCAATCTGCGACTGTAGTGGAGGTAGGAAGTGCCACATGACTGATCCCAGGTAAGAAGTCAAACTGTTTGAGAACTTTCAATGGTGTGTTGTGTGATGCTCTTCACACCATGACTACTACAGTGAGCTGTAGTGGTTGTGGTGCGTGGGCATAAAAGAGCAAAACACAGAGGTGAATGCTGCTTTGACAAATTACATTATATTTTTCCAGGTTTAGAGACTGGCAATATCAATTCATTAGAGTTGAGGCAATAATATACATGTTGCAGTATGTGTAGATAGAGATATTATATAAATACACACACACACACGATTTGTTTTATTTTGTTCTTTTTTTTGCAGGTTGCGAAGTAGCTGAATGTGACGAAGTGAGCCTCGTCACGTGTTTTTGGAGGGGCCTGTTGGCCAGCATCTTACCAAAAGACTATGGGCCCTTTAAATTTTTTATTTTTTTTATATGTAAACAGACTTGGTTCGGGAACCGAACAGCCGCATGGACCAGAGACCACCCTGGCGCTTGTTAAGCCTAATTGCTACCTTGTAGCAATTTCCACCACAGTGTTCTAAGTGTTCGTCTGGGTGGCCGCAATTCCTATGGACGACCACGAGGTGGCGGCCATCTTGTTCGCATGAACGCAGGCAGCGGTGTTTGGACATGAATCTCATGGAACTGAAAACGGACACAGAAACTCCTTAACACTGCTGGACTTCCAGCATTGCCTGCGTTCGGTTCCACATCACTTAGTAAATCGCTGTTCGGTGGAAACGTTCCCATGAACAAGAGGATCAAGCTCCAGGGTAAGATGATTGACTCTGTTCGGTAATTTCTTCGTTTTTAAACTACTGAACTAGACCGACCGCAAGCCCTGATTCTCTGGAATAGTTTTGGGCATGGGACCATGCAGTCGGTCAGTCAAATTATGACTTCCAGGAAATTCCTGAACCCCTGAACTGATCTAGGTGATTTTTGGATATGTTGGTCACCCAGATCATGGCTATCAGGGGATGTAACCTTTGTGGGGATTCTGTGTGTTTTAAGGTACTTTTGGGGTGTTTGTAAAAATTTGTGTTTGGAGATAATGGAGTTTAGTCTAATGCTTGACTCAAGTATCTCCCAGGCATAGGGGAGGGATTGACCTATTTTGTATGGGAGTGTCCTTTTTGTATGAGAGCCATGTGATTGTGTATTTGTTTCTACTGTGGTTTACGGTCAGGTCCAGGGTGGAGTTCCCCTTGCATGGGGATTTTCATAAAAGGTCAGTTGTGGATACCATTAAACGAGATTTGTTTTACCCTTCATGAAGTCTGGGTTCAAGTTTGGGGGATTGGAGAGCTATATTCACACTCTGTGGCTTGCTATAATCACTATTCTCCCTTGGATCACAACACTTGCTCTTATATGAGCAGCCTGCTTCGCTCTCTGGACTAGGAGAGGTCTACCCACTGCAAGCTGGATCCTGGTCTTGAGTCCAGGATGGGTGGAAGACAGAGAGACCCCAACCAAGCTGCAGCGCTTTGTGTGGTTTATGGTGTTTCAGTGCAGTGCTTATGGTGCTCGCAAGTACTAGGAATCAGCGATTGACAGAGATACACAGTTTGGGTGTCAAGCGGTCCGTCAAACTGAATATGAGATCCAATTTGTGAGTGTTGTAAGATAAACAGGGTTGTTGAGTAAAGTTAAAGGTTTAAGGCCAGAAAAAATGAGATTGAAAAATTCTCTAATTTAGCGTTTTTTCTAAATAAGGTGAATCCCAAACCCAACTCCAAAACAAGTGGAGTTCTCACTTTGGTAAATGACCTTGATAGTAATTTATGATACGTTTATTCTGAATATACATTAAGAAAATGGTTCAGTCTGTGATAATAGCTTTCGTACTTTTGTTTAATAAAACTGTAATGGATTCATTGGTTTGCCTTTAAATTTGTTCTATTCAGCTTTAGAACCCATATTACCATGGACTTATGAGGGCACATTAAATTATGCTTTTGTTTATGGGATGCATTATATATTTTGTTGATAATATAGTTCTATTGTTTTCATGCAGAACACTTCCACATTGTTTAATGGGGGAAAACATTCAGGAACACACATGAATGCAATTCTGGTTCCCGTTCCTGTTTTTTTGGCATGTGGTACACACAGAGTTATAGAGTAAGTCAGCAATCAATTTGGTTTTAACCCCTTAAGGACACATGACATGTATGACATGTCATGATTCCCTTTTATTCCAGAAGTTTGGTCCTTAAGGGGTTAATGTTTTGCCTGGTATATATTTACTTAATGTTTTGGTAGGCATTGGTCTTGAACCTTGACTAACCTCCTACTACTTGTAATTGAATAAAAAACATTGTTCGTTTTTTTGTGACCGGTTAGTGTCAATATTTTTTATTTTTTTTACTTTGTTGAATTATATATTGCTGATATTTAAGCAGCCATGCTTGTGGAATTATTGTATTTAGGAGTGAGTGCCATCTCATAACTGTTTTGAAAAAAAAAAAAAAACTACACATAAACCTAAACTCTGAACAGCAAAGGCCAAATAGTGCCTATATAAAACAAGTAAAAAAAATAAAATAAAAAACAACATTACAAAACTAAATAAATAAGCTGCATACCTTTTCATTGTTTTTGTAGAAATGGAAAGTTGGCATACATTTGATATCACAATGAGCAGCCACATCCTGAAAGAGGAAGACAAATAAATCCACTATTTAAAAAGAAAAGCAATTGTGATTATTTATTTTTTTACAGGAAAAAAAATGCAAAGATATGGATGAGGTATATAGTGCTACCAAATTCTGTCATGTTACCCACTGCCCACATAGAAGATCACTTGAATTAAAATTAATTTTGCAAATTACCTTACAGATCTTTACTATACCAGGAATGTAGTGCTAAAAGAAACAACTTATTACCATGTCTAAATGATTCATGATTCTAGATATTACTGCTGAAGTTAACCAATGTTGAAATACAGCATAACAACAATTGCCACTCACTTGGAGATTGCTCTCAAGGACTTTCAGTTAAAATACTCTAAATATATACATTAAAATGGGTAAAAAAAAAAAAAACCTTTGCTGAAATTAGCTGGGACTGCCAAGAGTGGCATTTTGCAACAAACAAAAATAACTAAAGTGGTTTTATTGGTTTTAGAAAAAACAAGCATCAGGAAATTAGGAAAGGCATGCAACATGGGGGTATAAAAATTGGGCAATGTTACTCTTCCTGATTACAAGACTTTCAAGAAAAATACCGTTATTTCAGTAGTGCGTAAAGCAATTTTAGAGTAAATGTAAATATTAAGGTTTTTTTACAAAATAGTTACTGACCCATCCAAAGAACTGTTTTCCTTAAAAACTAACTTACTTAGTGATACAACATAACTGGGCTTTAACAAAATTAAAAATCAGGACCACTATAGTCACCCAGACCACTTCAGCTCAATGAAGGTATCTGGGTGCCAGGTCCCCCAGGTTTTAACCCTTCAGATGTAAACATAGCAGTTTCAGAGAAACTGCCATGTTTAGAGTGCTGGGTTAATCCAGCCTCTAGTGGCGGTCTCCCTGACAGCCGCTAAAGGTGCTTCCGCGACGCTGTCCATAGGAAAGCATTGAGAAATTCTTTTCTATAGGAGTTTTTAATGCGCGAGCGGCTCTGGCCACGCATGTGCATTCGGCTCCACTCGGGAGCCCGGCCCTGGATTAAGGTAAATGGCTGAAGGGGTTTTAACCCCTTCAGCCCAGCGGGAGCGGGGCCCTGAGGTTGGGGGGGTGCACTAAGGATTATATAGTGCCAGGAAAACGAGTTTGTTTTCCTGACACTACAGTGGTCCTTTAAAACTGTTCATTAAAACTGGATTAAAGTGGTCTGGGTGCATATTCCCAGATCCCTTAAGAAACTGCAATAATTGGCTGTGTGTGTTAACTCCAGCTCTAATGGCTGTTTAACAAATGCGATATGTAGTGCCCCATCTGGATGAGTGGGAGAAGAGGTGTGAGGGAGGAGCTATAGTGCTGGCACTATAGTTTCCCTTTAAGTACAGTGGACTATCCACACCTGCCAGATAAAGTTTACAGGAAGGGGTTAGGGGATACATTCACAAGTTACCCACACAGGATTATGGAACATAAATTTCAACAACCATATATGTATATTTTGCGAAAAAGGAGTTAAAAGGGATACTCCAACCACCATATTCTTTTACACCTAATTGTAGTGGTGGTTACTGTGCAAAATGCCCATGAGTCCATCTGCTCCTTTCTTTTTTCCCTATCAATCAGTTTAACGGGTGAGTATTTTGAGGAAGTTTCACTTTTCAAAAGTATTTACATGGGGAAGTAGGATTTGACTCTGCTTGGCCAATATGACATAGGATCAGTACCCAGTGTTATTCAATTGTCATTGAAAAGATTATGGTAATTTGGCACTCTAAAAATAAATTTGAATGAATAACAGGAAAGGTAAATTTATCATCACTTCCAAGAGAAGGGGGTATGTATCAGTATCAATGCATCTCCATGAAGAACATTGCAGAGCATGGAGACACTGAACATCAGTGCTGACCCAGGAAACACCTCTAATGGCCATCTAAGTGACTGTCAGTAGAGGTGTTCCTAGGCAAAAAACCTGCAGGGACAGGCAGTAGACACCAGAACAACTACATTAAGCCGTAGTTGTTCTGGTGACTATAGTGTTCCCTTAAGCAAAGTGCATCCAGGTATTTTATGCCCAAGTTTTACTTTCTTTTGTATTGTTCACCACAACACAGCTGAATGAGATTTATCATGTATGCAAATGATCAGAACAATCAGCTCTAACTGCATAATGTATTCTAGAAATTAAAAAAAAAAAAAAATACCCTGAGCAAAACAAGAGTATAACAATAAATCAACTAAAACAATGTTTTATGTAAGTGCTTTCCATCCTTCTCCATTTACTTTCACATCAAAACCTGCATATGCAAAAGACTTACTCAGCAGGTATTTTGAGACAGAATATAATGTTGCAATAAATTGTATTATATTCAGTCTCAAATCTGCCCAGAACATTTGATATAGTTTACTAATCTTCCCATCTCCTCTTGATTGATTGTGGTTAAATTGGATTAGAAACAAACAAAACTGTGCTTAAGTTTCGCCAATTGTCAATATTTGTCAACTTGACTACTATACATAAGGAAAAGTAGTCCACAGATTAGTTCTGCATTGCATTTTAACTATTAATGCCAGAATACTGTTTACTTTAACTGCAATAAAGCACACATGTGTATGTTATGATTTGCCACAAGTACAATAATGCCCCCCCATCCCCATGTACAGGTTTCATAGTGTTTTTGAAAGTTACAGTTTCAAATATGGGGCTTGCCCATTTCAGTTTTAACACATTGAAATTTGCCAGATTGATTTGTTGGTCCTATATTGTGTTTGAGGCTGTATGGCAGCTAAGGAATGAAAATTAACGCCATCATGGGATAACATTTGCAAAAGTAGACAATCCAGAGTATTCAACATGGGGTATGTCCAGTCTAATTTAGTAGCCACTTAGTCACAAACCCAGGTCAAAGTTAGTGTTCATATTTGTTGGGTTTTTCTTTTGCATTTTTTGCACAAAACCTGCATATTCACTGATCTTATATGAGATTACACAATTGGTTCATGGTTTAGTCTGCCAGACTGGGTGCAGCCACCAGCATAACTAGGTAGAACAGAGAGTTCTACACAGTTATGTGTTCATGTCCAGCCAAACTCCAAGCAACCTGGAAATGAGAATCCTGTCTGATACTTTAGACACCATAGAATCTATGCAAATAAGCAAGTTTAGAAAAAAAAAAAAAAAAACATTCCCAAATTCTGTTACAGTCACAGCTTGTCTCTTTTGAAATCATAATTCAATTTTATGCTGACTCCCACTACTACTAAAATTTGTTTAATAATACAAACCATTTTGATGTTGGTAAAAGGATCCTTTAAATTATTAACTTGGTAAATAAATTTATATATTACAAGCCTTGAAAAGATTTTTTTTAAAGAAACCGTATGTTCATTCTTGTCTTCAGGAAGCAGAGCGAGGTTCAAAGTACATACTTAATGTAGAAGTATTAAAAAAAAATATATATATATATATATTTTACCTGTGCATCATCCACGTCCACTTTAAGAAATACAACATTTGGATATTGCTGGCTCAGTTTCTAGAGAAAAAAAAAAAAAAAGAATTAAGTATGATCAATTTTGGTGTTTTTATTGGCTATTGTGAAACTATGCACTCTCTGAATAAAACATTTTTGTAGAGCAAACAAGTTATCAAAGACCAGAAGGGTCAAATCATTTATCAATAAACCAAAAAGAGAGGAAGAATTAAAAAAAAGGCTGAACCTTTACTTAATATGCACAAAGAAGGTCTATATGTTTGGAGACATTGCCCTTTTACCTAGATGGCCAAACAAATTACCTATCTGTATTATGTGCTGAGCATCTCTACTTGCGGTAATCTATTAATGTGGTGCAGTTTAACAGGGACCCTAACTTCAAGCACTGGCATTAAAATATGGATGTCTAAAAGAATGCCTACCATATTTTGTAACACAAACAAAAGAAAAATCATGCACATCAGTAGATAGATGTGCATTAGCCTCTTGTGTATCATTAGATGTGTGATAAACAGAGAAGATGGAGGGGTGATTAAATGAACACAGCATTTCCCCCTTGATTTGTGTAATGAAAGAAAAAGATTATATATATATATATATATATATATATATACATACACACACACATACATACATACATACATACATCTCCGCTTTTTTTGTTCAAGTATAAAAGTTATATTTTATCAACAGCTCAAAAAAAAAAAAAAAAAAACCTATGTGCTACATCGGTAAAATGTGAGCAAAAGATTACGGAGATTCTAATTCAAAAGGTACACAACCTTCACTGATCACAATCTGACCAGCCTAGATTTTCTACCTCAAAGCAGCATTGAGTATATGAGGTACGCACAGAAATTGATGTTAACTGCCAATCCAATGCTTAATGCAGAGAAGCACTTGATATAGAGCAAGCAACTGCAACCTTTAGGACAGGGTTACTCGACTCAGTGCTCAAGAATCACTAACAGTCTAAAATTTACAAATGTCAGTACTGGAGTTGGAACCGCTGATTTAGTGCAATTCATAGGATAGTTGGCTATATGAAAATTAAAGAGTAATGAACTGAGGACTAAGTATTTAAGAATGAAATGAGTCTGCTTATAATCTATATACACACACACACGGTGCAGACAATATAGTCATTATATTTGCATGCATTTAATGAACACATACACTCCAGTTGCTTTTGAATTGTAAAAATACACAATAAAAATCCTTTATCAAGATTATTATTTATTTTTAAACTTACTTCAAAGAAAGGGGCAATCATTTTGCAGGGTCCACACCAGGTTGCAGTGAAATCAACAACTACAAGCTTTCCACCAGCCTCTGCGAGACAAGCCTTGAATTCATCCTAAAAAGAGCAGACACACTTTTTGTACATCCTTACAGCATGAATGTATTTTTTGTCATGATGACCACAGAGTCAAAATACATTTGAATGCACAATGATTACTATACTCCTTTCTCAGCTTAGAATAAATATTTGTTTCTTGTGGACTGCCTATGTATGCATGTTAAAGGTGGAATCATGATTTCTCGTTTATCCCAGTGTAATGACTACATTACACTGACTTTCACCACAATATGTCCAGTAAATCACCAATTATTAAAACATAATAGCTTCACCCCTTCATTAAAGGAACAAGTTAGAGCACCATAACCACTATATCACTGCCCTGTAGGGCTTCGCTTAGTTTAACTAGTAGAAGCTCCTTGCAGTAGTTTTCGGACCTACGGGGAGAAGTGACTTGTATCCAGTGGACCCCAAGTAAGTTGTCAAACCATTCACAAACAGTGGACTGTTTGTTTATGGTGCCCTGAGTGCTCCTTTGTCTACTGGTTGGATGAAAGCCCACCTAATGAACGGAGTGCTTCACATTTTCTAAATGTGCCGAGATATAATACCACCGCCTCTTATCAAGCCCGAATTAGCAAACACATCCTCCCCTTTGCACTGTATTGAATTAAGGACACTTGTCAGTTTCAGATATAAAAGCCTCCCAACAGCAATATAGCTATATCCACATTACAGAGTAATCAATCCTCCTTAAGCCAATCGCAGTGGTCATACTTTTTAAAGGAACTTATCAGGGTTATAAATATACTGATTTATAATATATTTGGGTGTTGGGGAGATTCTTGCTCTCCCTTTCACCCAGTACTTATACTAATAGTACTAATAAAAGCGTTAATTTCCCTGTAATTCAGCGGCAGGACTGACACACAGATGTATTGCACTGTATAAGATTTAAAATACTGCACAAAACCAAAAAAAAATAAAATGTACAGCTACTACTATTAAAAAAGGCCCGTGCCGTGTCATCACTAAACATTAAGCAATTTACTTTTAAACGGAACCCTGATTACAGTGTTGCAAGAAATGACTCACAGATAAGCTTTTTGTTAATATTTAAAACAAATAACAGCTGTCTAAAGTTCCATTTTTGTTTTGCCATTAAAGCTTATAAGTATAATATATACAATGTATATAGGAAATTGTTTCAGTAAGATATATTTGCTTCAATGTATACATTTAAACTGAGCCTACAAAGTGTGGATCTAACTGCTTGAGTGAAGTTTGCAACTTGATTATTAAAAATTTAAATCCTTTATATGCTGAAGGAGTTGCTAATTGATTAAATGTAAAACAGGGGTTCACAACTTTTGTCTGGATCATGGTTTAGTTTTATCCACCTTTAGGAGTAGCTTATCAATTTGTATATTTGCTTGAAGCCCTAACCGAAGGATATGCATACTCCTAGCCAAATTGACATATTGGTTTTCATTGCCTTTGACTCCCCTCCACACACAAAAAAAGTGTACATGTATGCATATATGATGTAGATATAAAAAGGTATATATACACATACATATATGTACACATAAATACATGTACACATAAATACATATAAACTTTTTATTTTTTATTTTACACTTTCTTCTAGCGAGTGAAATATATCCGTGGCAAGTCCAAATTCACCCCCTGATGAGGGTGCCATAGCCCCTACAGTCTTGCAATGGCTAATAACTTTTAGGGTCTGGCTGGTAGCGTAGGATTTTAAATATATGCATATAGAAGAGAGAAAGAGTTCTAAAATAACTATTATATTTAGAACTACAGGCTCCCCTTAAAAAGAAATAAAATGAACCAAATCCTGTTACTTCCACTTATGTGGTGAATCAGGATCTGCCCTGTAGCTTTCTGTGAGAAATTAGTCCCTTGAGAATTTAGGAAATGAAAAACATCAGTACTAAGAATCAACAGCTTTAGATAAGCATTTCTCTCCATCTGCTGCCCTCTTGGCGTGATCAACATAAGTAGATCAGGCCTTACAATTTCTATCCAAAAAAAAAGTGTAAATCAGTAATGGTCCACATTAACCCCTTAAGGACACATGACATGTGTGACATGTCATGATTCCCTTTTATTCCAGAAGTTTGGTCCTTAAGGGGTTAAATAACAGTGCTTGTTATTTCAATGGGATCAGAAAATGACTAGACAATCTAAAAATTATTTTTTCAACTTTAAATTTTACATGCTAGATCAGGTATGTGAAAGCACCTGGCCATGGGCACTGCCATCAGATATACAAGCATACCTCACTTTTAGGTACACAATGGGACCAGAGGATGTATGTAAAATGAAAGTGTACTTAAAATGAAGCAATACCTTTTTTCACTTCCCAATGCATGTACTGCATTGCAATAGTAATTCACAGGCATAACTGATATTGCAACTGCAGATTTCTAGTAATTTTATTTACAGTGGTTTATTTAGTGATTTCCAGTGGGCTTTTATTCAGTGTAAACAAAAAAAAAACCCACACCTCTCATTCCAGATTGTACCATTTATTTTTAAAGGACCACTATAGTGCCAGGAAAACACTTGTTTTCCTGGCACTATAGTGCCCTGAAGGTGCCCCCACCCACAGGGTCCCCCTCCCGCCCGGCTCTGGAAGGGGGAAAGGGGTAAAAACTTACCTTTTTCCAGCGCTGGGCGGAGAGCTCTCCTCCTTCTCTCCGCCTCCGATCCTCCTCCTGGGCTGAATGCGCACGCGCGGCAAGAGCTGCGCGCGCATTCAGCCCGTCGCATAGGAAAGCATTTACAATGCTTTCCTATGGACGCTTGCGTGCTCTCACTGAAAAATCAATGAGACAGCCACTAGAGGATTTGGAGGCTGGCTTGAAAACTGCTATGTTTATGAAAAAATGGGTTAACCCTAGCTGGACCAGGCACCCAGACCACTTCATTAAGCTTTAAAGGACCACTCTAGGCACCCAGACCACTTCAGCTTAATGAAGTGGTCTGGGTGTCAGGTCCCTCTAGGATTAACCCCTTTTTTTTTTTTATAAACATAGTTTCAGAGAAAATGCTGTTTATAAATAGGTTGATCCAGCCTCTAAAGCCTCTAGTGGCTGTCTCATTGACAGCCGCTAGAGGCGTTTGCGTGCTTCTCACTGTGAAAATCTCAATGAGAAGACGCCAGCGTCCATAGGAAAGCATTTTAAATGCTTTCCTATGAAACCGGCTGAATGCGCGCGCAGCTCCTGCCGCTCATGCGCATTCAGCCGAAGAGGAGGATCGGAAGGGAGGAGGAGAGCTCCCCGTCCGGCACTGGAATAAAGGTAAGTTTAACCCCTTTCCTCGCCATCCAGCCCGGCGGTAGGGGGTTCCTGAGGGTGGAGGCACCTTCAGGGCACTATAGTGCCAGGAAAACGAGTATGTTTTCCTGGCACTATAGTGGTCCTTTAATTTTTTACTCATCAGACAACCTTAAACTGGGAGGAAGAGCAAAATAAACCTGCCCACTGGGCCATTTTCTGTCAATACAGTGCCAAATTTGTATTTATTAGCAGCTTAGTTGCACACTGTTTAGAAAACACCTCATCACTTAACTTTGAATCCTCAGAATTGTGGCTAATGCAGCTAAGCTGCTAATTCATAGTTCTAGAAAATGGCAGGGTAAACCCTTCCACTGGATGGCACCGATTGCAGGATATGGACAATGTAGTGGCAGAAATTTTTATATAATATATTCAGCTAGGAGTAGACATTATAAATTTGAGATGATTAACATGTGCCATGTCAGAAGATATGAAAAGTTGTTGCCCCAAAGACACTGAACTGAGCTGTTCCGGGCAAGAAGAGAATCTTCCATTTCCTGTTCACTTGCAGACAGAAGAGGTGCGGGAATGTCTGCACTCGCGAGTGTACTTAAAGTGAGTTTTTGTAAAGCGGGGTAATGCCTGTATTGATTAAGAGACTGATGACTTCTGCAACTAACTACTTACACCCCTGCCCTTAAATGACGTATGACACAGGATGTTGTCAAACATCACAATACCAGTTCCACCCATTGCAACACAGGATCACATAACCTCCAGGTCTCGCTGTGGATATCACCAGCACGCATAGTAATATTATAGCTACCTGAAGGGAACCTTGATGGGATTCGCCAATTAGCATGCACTACCTGAGGGCATGCAACACCTCTCTCAGAGAAAAAAAAAAAAAAACACACCTTAATTTGTTCATAGATGCCACCTTATTGTTCTGAAGATAGTTGACACACTAAAGTAAAATTATCAGTTATAACTATGCAAACATGAAAGGGAAAATAGACATTTGAAATCCTACTTTGGAATGAAAAACTTAGCTCTTTATAAAAATATTAAAACAGGTCTAAGCACCGTAGAGGGGTAAGTTAAATACAGGAAATAATATTTTCACTATTTTAATTGACTGAGATTTAACTATAATTTGTTATAGTGAATTGACAACATAATTTCAAGATTTAGGTCAATTGCTCATCTAGGGGAAAAAAAAAAATCTCCAATGTTTACGGTCATAAATGCAGGATTTTGGTAAACATGGACTAAAGTCACAGCAAAACTTTGCTAATCTGGAGGATTTGGCTAGAGGCATTACTCAAATGCTTTTGGTACAACCTGCAATCTCCTGAGTGCTTTTAGGCTGCAACTATTTGCATATTGTGGCTTTCCAGACCATTCATATGCGTCTATGCTGGGAGTTTAACGGCACTGACAACGCCCTGCAGCATTTTGTCTATAAGAATACACCCAAAGGATAAACTGGGAGAATGAGTTGTTAGGGAATATGGTATTTAAGAACGACAGGTGGAGATTGCAATTATTCTAGTAATTTCTACAGACATTAAAAGCTGCGTAAACATTGTAAATAATGTGTGTGTTTTAAACATTATGATTTTTCCTTTTAAAAGAGAACATAAAACATGTGATTTAAAGACAGGTGATTTGTTAGGATTATGTAACCACAGCCTACTAGATGGCCATTCATAGTGACTCAGCAGATCTGCTTACATTTAGCAGGTATTCTGTTCAATATTTTTCTGACGTTTTTAAACTAATGGTCAGCTTTTTGTGTTAAATTTTACTCACCTTTGTACAGGGTATGTAGTTAAAAGTTTGTTTAGATAGGATTTCAAGTCGATTGCACAGGCATTTTGAAATAGAAACAGGTGTTCTAGGGCACTGCCAGCCATCATTACTTTTACACAAATGAAGGTAAAACATGTAGGTGGACTTATCAAGGGAAAACACTGTGCTATTCTGGGGCAAAGAAGCAAATAAGGCCCTGTCACCATGGAAACCAATACAATGGCTCACCACACTTACCAACCAAAAAAACAACAACCGGTTTTGCATTTCTAATATTCCCAATTTGTGTGCTGCAAACAAACATGTGTGGCATTGTCTTGCCATCATTTCCCTACACATAACTTTGCACAGGAAGTCACGGCACATTTTTAACATGTCCAAATTCCAGGCTGTTCTATCAAACAGTGCATTACAAAAATTTGATTTTGAAAATGATACAGAAGTGACAGTTCTTATTTTAAGAGGAACAGTTACTTCTGAGTATTTAACATTATATTCGCCAATTCTTTATATTTAACAAATGTGTTTGCGAGGCCTGAAAAAGAAGTGTAGAAATCCACAATGCTATGTCTAGCTATCCTGTAATAGAGTTCATCCACAGCTTGGTCAACTTTTAATCATTGCTATAAGCCCTGCACTTTGCATCAGAAAATCTGCATAAAGTACAAGAAACAGAAACAGTGATGAAGATTTATCAAGGTATTGTTTTTTTTAAAAAAGTGGATCAAACTACAAAAGTGTAGTAATCGCCATTGGAATGTGCCTCCTTCCAATGCGTTCCCACTTATCTGATCAAGGCAGTTTGATAAATCTCCACCCAATTGTTCTGGTGTTTTCTTCTTCAATACAATGCGTGCCCTGGGTATATCTGACTTAACAGGATTGCGGATCTGTATGTATATAAATGCAACATGTATACATTATATTTATAAATACACAAGTTTGTCACAAATATTCTACCTTTATGAAAAAAAAAAAAAACAGATCAGTGCTGATTTAACCACAGAAACTAAGCATACATTTTGAATACATTTAAATGTCATGCTATACACACACCTGCTCTCAGGCACTATGCAAACAAGGAGGCACCAGTCTGTTTGCTGTTGCAAGCTTCCCATAATAAATATGTATTTACGTGACATAATACATGCAAAACTGTTCCTCAACCGGGGATACTTGATCCTTAGGTTTAATTCTGATGCTGTCTAGGGGTACTCAAAAACCAGTACAACTTCAGAAATCATTACTATTTACAAAACAAAGTGATGATGATGGTGTATTTCTTTTATTTTTAAAAACAAGAGTAGGATACTAGAAGCATTTGGCTGGAAATATAATTTTCACTGTGTTAGAAAAAGAAACATAGTATAGCAAATATTTTGTTCAGTAAAGATTTCATTGCAGAAGACAGAGGATCAATAGTTAACACAATTGATTTTCTTAAAGGGTCATTCCAGGCTGGAAAGAAATCACCTTTAAGATTTCCAGAGAACACAAGTAAGATTTTTTTTATCCAATCAGAAAGCTTTACATCATCAGTCAGATGTTTAACATGTCACAAGGAATGTCGGCAATAGGCCCTGCATTTAAATACTGTTACTTAAACAAGGCCTCTTCTAGAAACCTTTGGACATCTTGTCACATTGAATGGTTTTGCCCATAATCTGACAATACAACGCCTTTAAATTATACACACTGGCACTCTGAGCATGTCCATTAGTTCCCTATCGGCAGAGATTCAGACTGCTTCATAAAATATGGAATTATTTGTAAAACAAATTAAATTACTGGACACTTCAAACTTGTGCAACAAGGTATTAGTCAGTCTGGCTGATTCGCCAACCTTCCTTGTATTTGGAACATATAGAGGCAAGAAATAATAATAATAATAATAATGAAAGTCAAAAATTATATAACACACACACACTTATCTAACATGAAAAGAACAGTTAGTTATTCCTCCCTTTCTGTTTAGAATGTTCTTGTCGAGATGTAAGGCAGCTCTAGGTATAAACTTTATTATAACAAATGTCTTGTATCAAACAATAATACTTGTGAGCACGTTTCTCTTAGGGATGTGTTGCATTGCTGCAATGTATAGTAAGACATTGTTAAACACACAGAATAAACACAAACAAAATAATCTCTATACATGTCAATGCAGGCCTCATTCCCACAGACAGAGTCTGCACCCAGCAGAGATGGACTTACCAGGCTCTCGACGTGTCGGACCATGCTGTCGGCTGAGCGATGGCTGTGTGGGCACAGAGAGCAAGATAACGTGTGGTTACAATGCGGACAGGCAGACAGAGCCTAACCTAGGGCAAGCACAGCAAGGAGGAGTCCGGGGGCGGGGCTTACTTAGAAAAAACCCACTATGCTCCCGAATGGGCGTGGCTTGTATAGTAATGGGCGGAGCAGCTGTGTCGCGCGACAGCACATTGAATAGTTGGCGGACAATGGTGGCCGGGTGGGGCGGTGCGGTGAAGGGATGGTGTATCCCAGAAGGCGTGCGCTTCAGGGGAAGCTTCAGGGAAATAATATGTCGGCATGTTATCGGAAGAGGAGTGGCCAGGCTGAGAAGCGTGGGCCGCCGGGACTGGAGGGAGGGAGGGAGGAAGGGAGGGAGGGGCGGCTAACGGTCCGTATAACGGGTTGTGGGCGGGGCTACGGAGGGAGTTATCCGCTATCCGGCCGATCACCGTGTCAGGAGCTGGAGCTGGGTGTATGTGTGATTCATACACTGCTGAGCTCTGTGATGCCAGTCATTGGTATCTCTTTATATAATGTGACACAAACTACCCTGTAACAAGCTCCTGCTTAATTTTTTTATTTATTTTTTTTAACTTGAAATGGCCTTTTTGTTTGGAATTTTTTTTTACTATAACATGTAAATAAAATCTGGGGTGTAATGCTAGCACATAATTGTATGATGAAACAGTAGCTGTGGATAGAATGATGAGTGGACAAACTGAAACATGGAAGTGTTATAAATTTACATAATTAACTTGTTTTTTCATCCTTTAAAGACATTATTGGGTGAATGAGAATTATTAGACCGTATATATTATCTTGCAGGATCAACCCTCTCCCATTGTCTCCAGTCAGACCGTTTTTTAATGCTTTGACATGTTACCTGGGAACCAGCAAGTACTGCTCCCTGTCTCCACTACTACTGCAGAAGAGCCGGAAGTTTTCTAGCAGGTTTTGGTAGTTCTCCTGACCGCTCTCAGCTTATACGGAAGTAATTGTCACAGCATTCAAATCCGGGTTGACTCCTTACAAGAGGGGGAAAACGATGCACTGTAATCATTATAATGGAGCTGTAGTGGTTATGGTGCTGCTTTGAGTGTTCTTTTAATATAAAAGAAAAATGCTATTTTTTCCCCCTTACAATAAGTGTAACAAATATAGATTATAAAAATTACCAGGTACCATGATTATATAGTGCAGTTTCGGCGCTATTGGTATCAATTTCCAATGAGATCAAAAGATAAAGTGAATTGAAGATTCTGGTAGCGCAGTGTTCTAGTAATCTTAATGATGACAGGAGGCAAGTATTTTGCATAAACTTTCTTTACTAACTCCATAGCAGCAAAGAAAAAAACAGTTGAAATAAAGAACCAATCAGAACGTAGTCAGAGTGTATGAATGTCTAAGCATATCCATATCACTTCCTCTTGACAAATGCGACATCACAAGTCCCTAATGCAACAAATAACATGTCCCATCCAACTTGGAAAATGATAAGGGAATTGATTCCTCCCAGCGATTCAGCTGACTTGTTAAACTGAAAGAAAAGAGAGACTAGTTTCCATGATACGGAACCGACCGTACGAAAATTATGTCTATGATTATATAGAAACCATTGTAATTAATTTAACTAACCCTCAGATGTTATCATATAGCATCAATCCACATTGTTATAAACAACTGCAACATACCAAATTTCATACAAGTACATAGATTTAATCCAAATATAGACTAGTACCCATTAATTTTAACTTACCTCAGTCTAGGGTGGGAACATCAAGTCGAAAGGGGTGGCGGAAATACTTGCCTCCTGTCATTATTAAAATTAAGATTATTAGTACACTGCGCTAGCATAATCTTCAATTTTACAACATGACAGGAGGCTTCATATTTTTCAATTTTAACGCTCAAGTAGAAGAGAGACAGTGTTATTCGACGGACGGAAATAAAATGTCTGAAACGTCGATTCGCGGGACCAGTCTGCCGCTTGTAGTATGTCCGACAGAGATGTGCCTGCCTTAAAAGCCGATGATGCAGCCGCCCTTCGTACAGAGTGCGACCCAAAAGACGGGTCTATACTGGCTCGGAGAGGAGCCATCTAATCCATCTGGACAGTGTGGTGACCGAAACCGGACCGTGAGGGTTAGCATATGACACCAATAGCTGTTGGGCTGTCGGTGGGCGTAATGTCTCCGTTGCCGCCACATATGCCTGCAAAGCCTTGACCACACAAAGTTGGGGGTCCGAGGTGAAGAATGGATAGAAGGCCGACGATGAGTCGGATTTAGTCCGCCGTGAGCTATGAAATGTGACTCCTTCCGGGTCTATAGTAAAAGGCGTCTTTATCGAATGCCTGCATGTCCGAGACAAAATGAAACCAGGCACAATAGGAAGGTGAACTTGGCCATCAATTGTCTTAAAGGACCACTCTAGGCACCCAGACCACTTCAGCTTAATGAAGTGGTCTGGGTGCCAGGTCCAGCTAGGGTTAACTCATTTTTTAATAAACATAGCAGTTTCAGAGAAACTGCTATGTTTATTAATGGGTTAAGCCTTCCCCCTAATCCTCTAGTGGCTGTCTCGCTATCCAAGCGCCAGCCCTGCAATGTGCCTTCACGGACTGGAAGGGAGATCAGGCACATTGCTGGCATCCGGCGAGGGAGGGAGAGAAGACCTGGGAGCTCAGCCTGCAGCTCCTCCTGGTCCTACTTTCGCGAGCACGGATCGTTGCTGCTATTACCAAGGCAACGCTCCGGATCTCGCGAGAGTGAACTCTAGCCCTGGAGCTGCGTGCTAGAGTTCACTCTCACCACTAGGACCACCAGGGATCGAGAAATGTACCCCCTTCTCCCTCAGTAAAGGTAAAAAGGGAGGTGGGACATAAATTTATTTTTATTAAAAAAAAACAAAAAATTATAAGAAAGCCACCCTACCCTCCACACCACACATTCACACACTGTCCCCCCTACACACACTGCCCACCCATACACACACTGCCACACACACAGCCCCCATACACACACACACACTGCCCCCCATACACACACTGCTCCCACACATCATACACATTTACACATTGCCCCACACACACTGCCCCCACACACATATTGCCACACAAACACATGGGGGGAGGTCTGTGCAGTATATTGGGGGCAAACCATTAAGGGGAGGTGTAGTCCAAAACATCTGGAATACCGAATGGGTATGGTGTGTGAATGGTCAGTAACAAGGGTTGAAGCCTTGACGTGGCATTTCTGCTCACATGTGTATCCATGTTCAACCAATGTGAGTGACTGCAATACTTATGAGGTAACCATAAATACTGTGACTGTGGAGAATTAAACACCTGTATCACCTACACACTAGTTATACTGTGACCGTATCGCCTAAACGCTGCTTACACTGTGACCGTGCCGCCTACACGCTGCTTACACTGTGACCATGCCACCTACACGCTGCTTATATTTTGAATGTGGTTATTTTTTTCAAGTTAGTTTAAGTGTTTGCAGTTTCATTAATTTGTTAACCACTATCCTCAATCTTCTGTTCTGTATTTTCTTAGACTTGTGGGAAGAACAAGGTGATCCTCTCAATTTTACACTCCTTTACTGATGATTCCAGTGCTAGAGACAAACCCACCACCATTAACCTAGACCTGCTGAAACAAAAGAGATACCTTCTTCTACAGAAAACCTCCATATAACTGCTTCGGAACACATGCTGCAGAGATGACGTAACCTTCATCTTCCAGTGATTAAGAATCGTGGATCGCCCAGATAGAGACCATTATATTAGAAAGATACTGCCTTCCTAATGCCAAACAGCCGTTCTTTACAGGTGATTAAACTTTCTCCATGCTGGATACCACACTCTGCTTTTCTTAGCCATTTTCTAAATTTTGACTTTTTTATATTTATTTTACTATACATATAAAGTCTAAACTGCATATTAACATTGAAGAAATAAAGTAAATTGCTGACACCTTGACATGCTATTTGTGTTACTTAGCTACAATATCCCATTGTATGACATCACTGCAATTCTACAGCGGGGGTGATGAGATGGTGGATTTCAGAGGAGAAAACACAAAAAATACTGAAGTGTGTATTGCTTGGAGGCCAGAATCTAATTCTGAGTGAGTCACCATCTTCCTTACCAGAGACCCCCTAGGCAGAAGTTTTAATTTGAAAACCTTAGTAAGTGATTAGGACTTCTATCCTCCTTTTGTTTTTATCTGTTGTTAGTGAAACTAATTTGATTGTCATCTATATTTTTGTTTCCACTGTGCCAATTTTTTGCTCATAATAAATATTCCTTTATTAAGTTCTGCCTTTGTCTGAAAAGAATCACGTTTCCTGAAGAGATTAATTAGTGTTATGCAATTGCTTAAATATTGTGCTAATTTGTATTTGGTGAGTTTTTATTATTAAGTTACCTGGGAGACCGGGGGGAGGAGCAATGATGTAGCACGCGCTAAATCATTAACGGAGGATCCAGAATAACACAGGATACTGGGCTAAAGAATTCTTCGGCACAACACAGTACCGCTATCAAAGGAGTGTTACCTAGACGCGGGGAGGTGAGACCTGAACAACAACACGTACTTTACAGACAATGATAGGCTATTGGTGAGGACTGCTTGCCTGCAGCACTACAAGAACGCAAAGCTGTGAATTTCTGGAGGTAAAAAAGAAAAGTTCTTCTTAGAAGAGAAGTGCAAACAGGCATATCAGAACCTGGGAAAGGGGACCACTTGCCTCACTGCTAAAAAAAAAAACTGCACAAGGACACATGAGTGAGCTGAAAGTTCCCAATACTATATATGTATTCTAACTCAGAATCAGCTGGCATATAGAAGGAGAAAATAAAGTGAGTGTAATGCTCATATAACTTATTTAAAAACTAACTGGCATGATCAAAAAATCATGTGTTGAAAAAGGAAGTCAGATAAAGACTAAAGGGTAAAAGATACAACTATATCCTAACAGGAGAGAGGTGGGGGGAGATGAGAAAGGGGTGAGAGAATTTCTTTGTATGAACATACTACTTGAATACCATGCCAGAATACCCATCCTGAAATTTTAATTTTTTGGAAACCTTGCTTGTATACTATATTTGAAATCTTTATTTTTGACTAT